GGATAATAAACAGATTTTTATTCATCAATGATGATTAAAACATAAATTTCTGTTTGTTTGTCTTCATTTAGATAATACAGAAAAAGAGTACACCAATTAATGTCTTTTTTCATAGGGCTGCTGTGGCGTGTGTTGGAGCATTTTATGAAAAAATGGGCAGAATGCTGGGTAGTTCTTTTCCAGAAACTGTGAATAATCTTTTAAAGTCTCTGAAAAGTGCAGAGGTAATTTGCAGATTATTTGTGTGGTCTTGATTCCATTTAAACTGAAACTTGTTTCCGCCAAAGGTGTTTGCCAAAATGCCTAGGTTATTTTTCTTTTACATCTATAAAGGTAAATCACTTACCTAGTTAGTATCACATCTACTGCAGAAAGTTTTGAGTTTATCATATGAATATTATAGTAGTTGCTTCATAGTGGCATCAGTAATTAAAACTGCAAAATGACTGTATGTATTATTTCTAACAACTGTGTTAGGATTTTTGCCCAAGTATCCTGAATAAACATTCAGTTGTTAAAAATTAGTAATAAATACTTAAGTTTTGCAGCGAAGTTGTTACTCTGAATGCGAGCAGGATACATTGTGCCCTGAAAAGAGAGAGTATGTCATGATATTGCGAGAATGTATCCTGGGCTGTCAGTAGGTTTGATTTTATAGAAATAGCTGTATTGGAACAAGTTGGAATACTGATTGTGCGGATCTTGACCTGGCCGCTGTTTTCTTCAGCTGTGTTGTTTGTACCTATGTGATAATTTATTTATTTGTTTATGTGTGTGTGTGTCCTCAAATTGTAAGTACCTGCCTGTGTGCAGGTATAGAAGGAAGCTGTTAAGTACTTGAGCTTCCTGTTCTCTTGTATCAGCTGGTGTTTTGTTTTTTTCCTGAGTCTGCAGCAGATAAATAGTGGGACAGGACAGAAGCATTTTGTCTAGAGCCAATTTGTTGGGTTGCCTGGGCTTATCTTAATTTATGTGACAACACAGGGAGTTTTAGTAAAGCTGTATGTAGTGCTTACTGCTATCTAAAATCAGCTAGATATCAGTTACATATGCCTTCGTTGTCAGTGTTTCCAAAACTACTCCTGTATAGAAGCAAGAAAATGCAAAAGTATACAGCTGGTTCTTAGTATATACTGTGTCCACATTTTTGCATAAATGTTTTTGTGTGTGTGCAGTCTCAGGGCCGCAGTGAAATTCTGATGAGTTTGCAGAAAGTCCTCAATGGACTGGGAGGAGCAGCAGCTTCTTGTCACCGTGACATTTATAAGAATGCCCGATCTCTGCTGACGGACAGATCTATGGCTGTACGATGTGCTGTGGCCAAGGTGGGTGTGTTTTTCACTAACCTTAGAAGTTCTTGTACTGTGACTGTGAAGAACCTGTAGTTGAACTGTGACCTGTTGTGTATGATAGGAAATTTGATAATTATTTGGGCAAGGTAAGTTCTTTCTAGTTTATACTGCAGGCTCAGACATTTGATTTATTTCACAGGTACTGTAGTAATGTATTCCCCACTTCATAAACATGTATGGGATAGAATATATTAACTGTGAGTCTCAGTGGGAGAGGTTTTTCTTAACATGTTTCTTTCTTTGAGATTTCTTTTAATTTTTTTATTTATGTATTAGCCTATTCTATAACTCTTCTGATTGTTTACTCAGCTAAGTTATTTGGTATATGGGAGAGTGTAAATTAACTCTTAAAATATTCATATTAAAATATTTGCTGAATAAACCTGACAATTGCAGTCTGATACTTACGTGAAAGGTAAGAATGGTCTCCTGGTGCTTAGCAAGTCTATTTTTCTTACAGTGTCTGCTGGAATTACAGAATGAAGCGGTGTTTATGTGGACAGCTGAACTAGAGAATGTTGCAACCCTGTGCTTCAAAGCTCTGGAAAACTCAAACTATGGTGTGCGTGTTGCAGTGTCAAAGCTTTTGGGGACAGTCATGGCTACAGCACTGATACCAAAACAAGCAACAGGTACAAGCCCTTCTGGATTCCATGTCTAAGTGGGCAGACTGCACCTTCAGTGCCATGTTACATGACAGTGTTGCACAACACATTGCTGTTCCAGTAGATGAGAGCTCGTAGGTGGATTATTTGTTTTTATAAACAATAAGCTAAAAAGCGGAAAGAGTGCAGAATATCTGTTGTAGTCACAAAAATCATTTGGGAAAAATGACTTATTTTTTAAGAATGAAAACAAGTTTTTATCTGAAATCTTGGGTAGATTTATTTTTGCAATAAGT